TTACTCTGTTTAGACAAGGATTCATAATCTATCTCTAAATACATTTATAGCATATATATATATATATATATATATATATATATGGGAGCATGGTCAAGTGCTTTGAATGTTCACTTTTTGACCATGAGACCTGGGTTCAAATCTCACTATGGTCGATTTATCAGGAAGAAGACTTCCTGATGCTATCAGTCTGGAAGGAGATGATCCCAGCATGCAGCACTTTTGGAAAGTGCTTGAAAACCATACCATGAGTTGACCCAATCCTTGTGAGTCAAATTTGGTAAACGCAACACTTGGGGGATCATCAGTAGTTGTGCTAGCACAAAGTCACAAGTCATCGTGACCGACGGTTTGAGTGTACTGGCCTTGTTCAGATTGTTGATCACACCAGATAACATGCTCTCTCCCAGAAACTGTAACTAAGGTTTGCTCAGCATAGTTGCAGTATAAACCACAGGTTTGTGGAACAAACACAAATTTGCCTGAGTGACCACCTGAATTAGGGATTGACTAGCTGCCCTAGTAGATGGGTATCCTCAAATACAAGTGGCCAGTTTTTATTATATTATATATATATTATTTTATTATATTATATATATTTTATATATATATATATATATATATATATATATATATATATATATATATTGTGTAAATGCGTTTTCTTTAAGTCAAATGCTATTAAAAATGACAAACATTTTGTGTCAATTAATTTTAATGACTGACTTTTCCAAATCATGAATAACCTTCTCGAACAAGGAGGAAGGAAATTTCTTCAGAAATTGTCCAAAGTTCATTTTGGAAGAAAATTACAAGAAATATAGTTCAAGTTTTCAAGTTTCTTAAGTCCTCATTGGGGGAGGTTGAGTAAATACTAGTTGCAAAATAAAATCCTTGCATTTGCCTTAACAATTTCCATCAGAGGACTAAACGTGTTGCCTAAGATAAGTAATGCTTTTGTCTTTATTCATATTGTCCTTTTACAGATAAACTCTCTTAAATTTTATACACACACACAGACGCAATAAATACTCACATCACCAATATTTGTAAAACCCATACTCCATGAATGTAGCCTCCAAATATTTGCAGATGATGAAACTTAGTATTATACATTTATTAAGTACAGATTTTCCCAACATTTCTCATATTTATCAGGTAATTAAAATACACTAATATACTCAATTTTTTAATATTCATTTAAATTGTGCAACCATATCAAGGATTAAACACCCAGAAACACCATAAAGGCATACACATGACTCCCACAAGAATTCATATATACATCTCTACAAATACTATAAAATGAACACATGATATCTAACCAACCAATGAAAACAAAACAAAATAGGATTTAAAAATTGAAACAACACCACATTATTCCACTTCCCTAAAAATTACTTATAAAGCTAAATACCAAAACATGTTATATTTACAAAGGTTTTCCTTATTTCATAATTTTGTCAGATTTATCTATATTTTCAATATATATATATATATATATATATGATGGCTGGCTGCTTGGATCTGGATATAATCTACGAGGACAGCTAGCCAATTCCAATTGCAGATACCTGCTCAGGCACATTGTGTTTGTTCAACACCAAAAAAGCCCATCTGTGGTTTATACTGCAACTATGCTGATCAGATATTAATTAGTTTCTGGCAGAGAGTGCATTATCTGGCATGATCAACAGTCTGAACAAGGCCATTATGCTCAAATCCTCAGTCACGATGACTTGGGACTTCATGGGTAAAAAACGATCCTTTTGAGACTACATCTTATTGCAGGCATGTTTATCCAGATTTCCCATATTTCCTTTGACTTTTAAATACAAATTATAGTGTAAACTAATGCTTCAGGTTTTAGGTTATTATTTTAGTCTTATTGTTTTAGAAGTAGTCATAAGAAATTTGATATTAAGTTTAGATAAATTCTCTTCAATTGTAATTTCATGATTGAGTTGGTAAGTAAAATTATCTGTCTAGTTTTATTAAGACTATTTATGTTATTTATTCATATTTTATCTATTTTCATAAATTTGATGAGCTTTCCTCTTTACATTATTAGGAGATTTTTGTGGCCTAGCATATGCATTGATTCCTTAAGACTTTGCATTTTCCAGTGATGTTCTCTGTCTATTATTTCAACCTCATCCCACAGAGTGCATGATATCCCTTTCCTCTCCATATATGGTCAGCCATAGTTGATTTTTTTACTTCTTCTCATGTTACAGCTTTACAGTGTTCCTGCAGTCCTGAATATAACAATAAAGATTTGGACAACAAACAGTTACAATACCTCTTTCAGAAATATAGATGAATCATATTTCTCCCATATATATAAATAATTCACTTAGATAAAAATGTCAAAAAATGTTTAATCACTAGTTCAGCCACAGTAAATTTATGCCCAGGTTCTTACATTTCACCATTCTTGGCAGATTTTCTGTTATCACAATGTGGGATATTTTAAAACAGAGATGATGGAAAGAAAAAGAAAACAGATATAGATGAATTTGGTTAAATTACAAAAAATTATTTTTAAAATTTTGAAACTACCAGCATCTCTCTTTCATGCACATTAGTCTCCTCAGTATCATCAATAAGCTTTTTGAGGCCTTAATCAACAAGAGAGTCGTTGAGCACCTGGATAGGAATAACCTCTTGTGCAACGAGCAGTATGGGTTTCAATTGGCCCAGTTCACTGCTGATGTCCTAACTACCATTACAGACAGAATTAGTGAGGCCCTTGACAACATACATACTGCAAGGACTATAGTATCAGATATCTTGAAGGCCTTCAACAAGGTGTAGCACAAAGGTTTGCTACACAAGCTCTCCAGCTATGGAATCACTGGAAGGGTTTTCTCTATTATAAAATCCTTCCTAACAGGTAGATCCCTGAAAGTAGTTATTAACAGCTAGTCTTCCAAGGCCCTGGCAGTCAACACAGGTGTCCCCAAGGGGTCCCTTCTCAGACCAACCCTCTTTCTGATTTATATAAATGATCTACCTGAGAATATATACCAAATATTTGTAAACATTTCTGCCAATGATGCAACAATATACAGGTACACCTCTAAAAGTTTTGACAATCAGATTAGCAGCTGTCCTCTCCTCTGATTTAACACTAACTTCCCTGTGGAGAAAAAAAAAACTAGCTGGTTATATTCAATTCCTCTAAAATCAAACTGGTTACATTCCATCACCACTGATCAGACCCAGAAATACCACCAGAAAATGGTGATGAACAGATGTCCCCTGAAGCCTTGAGAGGATATTGAGCCTGAAACACACATGAACTCAAGTGGAATTCCAATATATGATCCACTACTAAAGATTCAGGTAAAATGACGGGCCTCCTCGTGCTATCCTCTACATTAATATTAGACAGATCAGACCGAAAATGGAGTATTGTGCCATATTTGAGCAGGAGCTGCCCAGACCTCATTTTCCTGTCTTGTTCAAAAGCATCTCCAAGTCCTTGTTGGAAAAGAATTGTTTTCCACACTCCAAACTCTCACCCACAGGCGGAATGTGCCGAGTTCTCTCACTGCTCTATCGTTACTTCCATGGAAAGTGGTTGGATGAATCACGTCTGACCTTCATGGTTAGGACTTGCCATGCCACATATATAGTAACAAACCACCCTCATTCTCTCTGTATTCCATCAGCAAGAAGTAAGTTCCACTCAAACAGCTTCTTCCTATGAACCACTCCTCTATGGAACAGACTCCCAAGAAGATGTTATTCTTAACTGCTAATTATGATTAATAGTTAACATGATACATTTGTCATTACAATTGGTTACTAAAAAACAGAAAATACCGATGACTCAACTTAATAAAATCAGCTTCTCTCGGAAATCTAAATAACAACCTGAACAAAGTAATATGGATATTTTTATTTCATTATGAATAAATATGGAAGCCCATATAGTAAATAGACTAAAGTTCCCAAATAACAGCACAATTAACAAAGTTAAAACAATTAAATAAATACTTGTTATAATTCACAGTTATATTATAAATGCAAAAAAATAAAGAATTTAACAGATTGTAGACTTTGTGTGTATTTTAGGTGAAGGAGCATGTTCAATATGCAAATAATTAAGAAGCATATAATAACTTGTTTCAAAAAAAACAAATGTTTATTCCTTTTATGGTGACTGTAGTGAAACAAAGTTCTCCCTGTCCCTTGGGTATACCCATTCTCTTTCTTGTTCAGAAGTTTGGGTAGGTAAGTACAAGTACTGTATTCATAGTCAAACTCAAGTCAGCCTTATGCAGAATTGGAACAACCAAAAGAAAGGTTCTGCTTACTTTATCACTGGGAGGTTTAAACATGCTTATGGAATGTCTGTGTTTTTTTTTTTCTTCATCCAGAAGTTAGGGTAAGTCAGTATAAGTGTCATTACTATAGTCCCACTCAATTCAGCCTTTCACTAAGTTGGAAAAACCAAAGAGAAAGCTTGACTTACACCATAGGTTGAGGTTTCGGAAGAAACATATAAGCGCTGTGCATTGAAAAGTGGGAAGAGAGTTCAGCCATCAGTGAACCAAGAAAATAACATCCCCTAATGAGAACATAATTATCATTTGGTTCACATCTTGAAGCAAAGATGAGAAAGAAATTGAGGTGGAAATCTTTGCCTTTTTATAGGCTTCAACAATACTGCCTGAGAATATTAGGTACAACCAAATGGAGTAATCATATTTCCAGTTCCTTTACTCTTAGCATCATGGGAAAATCTTTTTCTTTTTTTATTATTCATTATTATTACTTTATTTATCAATTTTTATTTCATTTTCTCACAAAATTGCATCATAAAACATTGTTAACTTATTGGTTTTTTTTGTTTTTAAAGAACAGGCTTTTTTTTTCTTAAAAAGAAGTTTTCTTTTTTATCTTTTTATTGACTTCTTTAAATAAAATTCAAATGATCTTTTCCATTTTCTATATTTCTATATTTCTATGTTTTTATTTTTTGATTTCAGGTATTTACCACCATATTTGTTATTGAAGCAATACTAAAACTTGTTGCATTCAATAAACAATACTTTAAAAGTGGCTGGAATATCTTCGACCTTGTCGTGGTTGTTGCCAGCTTAATTGACTTAGGAGTGGAAGGGCTCAAAGGTGTATCTGTGTTCCGGTCTTTTCGACTAGTAAGTATACCAAGAATACATCTTTATATATTGTTTAGTAAAAGTTAAGCTAAAGTGTATAATGTTGTAGGAAAATATATCTTTCCAATATAGCCTGTTGCATTTTTTTTTTTAAAATGACCTTCAATTTTGGAAGAAAATTTTAATTTCTGAAGAAAAACTTATATTTTAGAATAAAAGCAAGCAAAGTGTGGATTCAATTTATAATGTACACATTATGTCAAACAAGATATTGTGCTTGACATTGTGTCATCCAATTTTCAATTTACACTACAAGTACACCACTAAACTGGACACTGATTTTGTGCTGTCTTTATAAAATTGAAAGAAGGCTTGGAAAATTTAACACTCACAGGATACATCAAAAAACAAGAGAAACAGAGGAAAGCAACAAATCACAAAGAGAAAGAGGAACAAAAAGATAAGAAGCTGTGGAGAGCCATGTTCACCCACATTAGATTGAATTTATCTACTCATCTGTTAAACTTTTTTATAAAATATTTATTGTTTCCCCTTTTAGTTGTAACCTTTTCCTCTTTTATTGGTATGTGTTAACTAGCAAGGTAGACAGGGCTTTATAAGAAAGACTGTCAGTTAAAAACCATGGAGAAGGCACCTTATTATTATTGCCTTGTGTCACACTAACCTCAACCTTATATATATATATATATATATATATATATATATTTATAATGTCAACTATGAACATGGACACAATATCTTGACTATGTTTTGAAAATGAAAACATTGTATAAATACATACGTAAAACAATCTATTTCTTGTTAACAGTTAATATATTTTAACCTTGCAAATGGCTAAATGTATAGCTGAAAGTGCTTGGAGAAAAGGACAATTTGACAGTTTTTATATAATTTATCTACCAAAAAGAAAAAAATTATAAGATCGCATGAGAAATTGCATAAAAAAACTAAATCAAAGCACCTTGTCTGTCGTATTCAATGAAATGTGCATGAAAGAAGGATTGCTGCCTAAATACACAAATATATGATGGACTCTCCCGTCAGTTTCGACGTATGAGGTTCCGACAACTTTGTCTATTTAACCTTGTGTGTGAGTCGCAAGTGACATTTCAGTTCTGCTAGTGATTTGCAAAGAAGTCCACAGATTGTGCAAGAGTGTGGATTATTGGAGTATATGGCTGAAACAGCAGCAGATATTTTATTCCTTTCCCTAGTTTGACGAAGCTTGACAATGTTTGATGCTGCCTTGTTCTTGATGCCATTGTAGCATGTAGTCTTCCATTCATTACAATCAATTATGATGTTCTCAAAGGTAGTGTGATTTATATTCGCAGCTAAGAGGTTACTCTTCAGCCTGTCCCTGTACCTAAGCAAAGGCCGACCCACAAATATATATATATATATATATATATATATATAGATAGATAGATATATTATAATTATTTTTTAAAAAATATAAAAAGCTTGTATAGCCAGACAGAAACACCCCACCCAACCTTAAACGACTCCAAAAACTTGATACACAATAAACATTCCTACTCTCTTTATTCGTAAAAAGCCAAAAAACCACTGGAAAAATAGGAACCCTCATACCACTACCTTTCCTATCTTATAAATAGAGTAAACTGATTTCTCCATAAGTTATTCTTAATATTGCTTGAGAATGAGACCGTGCTCTAAATTTTAAGTTTAATTTTGAAATTAAACTTTAGAACTTGAGTTTCAGTTTCAAATCATAGTAATTTCTCTCGCAATGGAGACATATTTTTAAAAAAAAATAATTATATTATGCTCTACTTTGTATCAAGCACTGTTTTTTAAAAATAAAACAAAAATATTAAAGAACTTTAGATTATAAATCTGACTGTTCTTTCCTATTACTTGGATATATATATATATATATAGAGAGAGAGAGAGAGACAGAGAGAGAGAGAGACAGAGAGGGGCTTACAGCCATATCACATTGAAGCACCAATTCCCATACAATTACCAGAGTTAAGTAACATTGAACATGTCAGTAGGTAATTGGGTGACCAATTGGGAATACCATGTGTCGTAAGCCTCGAAGTGCAAGTAGTGTAATGGATAACAGCTCAGAATGAGAAATCAGAGAGCCAAGTTGGAATTCAAGTCGGGTTCATTATATTCATTTATGTTCAAATACCCTTAGAAAATGTATGAATCCACCCCTTCTCTTCCCAGCTATGGGTTAATTAGTAAGACTTGTACCAGAAAATTATTGTTATCTCCAAATATTTCTTACAATCTAAAAATATGTTTCTACTTTAAATAACCTTAAAAGAGTTAATAAACCATAAAAAACAAATCAATCAAAATTAAAAAATATATATATTACAGTATTATAGTGTGCTTGCAAGTGGAATATTTGTCATTTTTGGAATATTTCCCAAGTGATCCTCTCTGAGTGCTCCATACTTTTGGCCTTGTGAGACATCTGAGTTATGCTTAGTAAATTGATATAAATAAAAAATGCTGGTAACCATTCATTATCTGTTGTGAGCTGTTTTGTTCTATTGACAAATTACCGAAAACATCTCGCTATAAGAGAAGTTCTGTATATTAAACATCTCTCTCCAACTTTCAACCTCACCTTATTTAACAATAGGAGTGGCATGCTGAAAGTTTTTTAAAAAATAGAAAGATACTCGCTCAAATTCTACACATAGACCAAATTTAGTCTTACGCAAAGTTATAAAAAATAATATAATTAGCTAACATATATGAAAAAATGGCATTTTTTTTCTTGTTGCCAGTCATTAATTTTATGTCTTTGGAAAAGACTTACTATAATATTTCAACATGTATACACACTGATGCATAGAGAAATGTAAAAAAAAAAAGCAACAAAGAAATCTCTGTTAGAAAATATTTGTAAAATCATCAAAATAATAATGTCATGTGTAATAACAGATAAACACTTTCAGAAATTACTTTTTTTTTTAAATTAGATTAGTTGTAAATATATAGGCGTGGCAACATAGTAGTATTCACTACAACCTTTGTTATTTCTTACTGTGCTTTTTATCTCTTTTCAATTCCTCAAAACATCTTTTTTTTCTTTTTCTAGTTACGAGTTTTCCGTTTGGCTCAATCTTGGACAACAATGAGACTGCTTCTGTGTATAATCCTCAATACACTTGGCTCGTTAGGTTACTTGACGATAATACTCATCATTATCATCTACATATTTGCTGTCACTGGACTGCAACTTTTCCACACAGAGTACACGCCAGACAAATTCAGGGGCGAACCAGTTCCCAGGTAACAAAAACTAATTTGATTAATATTTGATGAATTCACTTGATTAAAATAAAATTACTCTACAAAAGTTTGAGGCCACCCCTTGTAATTTTTTAAATTAGCCCCAAAGGTAGTTGTTTTGTACTTTAAATAAGAGAAAATTATAATACATAGTTAAAAAAAATGAGACATGTTTTTTATTAGAAATTTTATTATGATAAAAAGAAAAAAAGCATTTTATGATTAAACTTTGCTCTCATCAAAATATCCTCCTTCAGCTTTGATGACTGCAGCACAAAGTTTTGGCATTTGTTGGAAAAGTTTCTCAAAGTATAAGTTTGACAATTGATTCCATTCTTTTTTCAATGATACTAAGAAATCTTTTTTTCACTCTTCTGTCAAGTTCATTCCATGTTAATTTTGGAGGTGGCTTCAAATTTTTGAACTGTAGTGTATGTCATCATATTTATAAAGATAACATCTTTCAAAAGTTAAAGGCCTTGTCATCTGAATATTTAAGTTCTGATAGTAAGATTAAAACATTTTTTCTAAACTGGCTTCTTCACATTGTATAAATATAAGTTTGTTGATGATTAAATATTATATCTAAGAACAATTTTGAGCTTATACAGTTTATAGAGAATTTCACTGAAATCAAAGAAAATTTTTCTCTTGATTAAATTTTAAATTGAAAATATTTTTAAGACCCAAGATCAGCATTTTTCTTTTATTTAGAAGTGTATTTGATTTTTAATTAAGATAATTATTAAGGATCTATAGCCAAAGTTTTGATTTTGAGTTTCTCTATACTAACTCCTTGGAACTTAAAACTATTTGTAAAATGAATGTTTTATAAAATTTATTATAAACTATATCAAATGTGAAAGTTAAATTATTAACTATGAATTTTTATGTAAGGCATTTCTGAAATGTTTCTTTCTGCTCTACAAAGTATAGTTGTATTATCATTGTACTACTGACAGTTTTTATATATATATATATATATATATATATATATATATGAGATAACAATATATATTTTTATATATCAAGAAAGGTATTGGGGAAAAAGTTTACTTGTGACATGTTTCATCATTCAGAGTCCGATGAAGTCCTGATGGACAAATATGTCACAAGTAAACCTTTTCCATTTTGTCATAAAATTTCCTCATATATATGTGTGTGTGTAATCAGGGCCATGAAATTTTGTATGATTTTTTTTGTAGGTGGAACTTCAATGACTTTCTCCACTCCTTTATGATGGTATTTCGAATCCTATGTGGAGAATGGATTGAACCGATGTATGATTGCATGCGTGCCTGTAATGGGCTCTGCTTTCTCATCTTCATTCCAGTAACCGTGTTTGGGAAAACAGTAAGCAACATTTTCTTCTGCATCTGTATTTTATTTATTTCTCTTCATGCCTGTCTCTTTATATATGCTTGCTTACTTCTTAAGATTATGATGTTTCAATTTTCTGGATTCTGGAAGTTTCTCAAATTTTGCTATTTTCTTATTATTTTCTTGTGTTGTTTTCATTTTCATATAAGCGGTGTATAAAAGCCTCCTCTCAAACTTATGCATAATCTTATTGTTTCTTAAATTATAATTATTTTAAACTGCATAAAAAGAGGGAGGCACGGTGGAGTAATAGATAGCGGCTCAGATTGAGGAATCAGAGAGCCAAGTTCAAATCCAGTTAAATCCATTACATTCACTTATATTCTAATACACTTAGGAAAAGTATGACTCCTCTTTTTCTCCCCCCAGCTACGGGTAAATAGCAGGACAGACTGTGTTCTATAGCTTTGGATGGCAACTGGTCTACTGCAGAAAGAAATGGAAACCTACTGAGGGAAAAAAAATCTGCCTCATCAGTCATGTATCGAAAGATACATGATCGCCTAAGCATGTATCATGCCTGGCATATAACTGACCAACTGACTGCATAAAAAGAGGTGTGCAAATATAAGGATAAGAATAACCGTTAATATGGCAATATGTCAGATTTTATTATGTCAGTCAATGTTTTTGCAATAAAATTAGTATTAACTATAAAATATTCAGAATATACTGATATGAACTTCAGTTTATAATAACAACATTGATGATAACCTGTTTTGGAAATCTCAGTTTTTATTACGCAATAAAATTGATATCTTGACTGAATTTTAAATACTTTTCCACAGAGATTGGCAGTTGACCTCTCTCCTGATCTAATACTAATTTCCCAGTGGGGAAAAACTGGCTAGTTATATTCACTGCCTCTAAAACTAAACTGGTTACATTCCATCACCGCTGATCAGACCCCAAACTACCGCTAATCACGATGAATGAATGTTTCCTCAAGAAGGTACCATACCTTGAGAGGATATTGGGCTTCAAACTCACACCCAATCTCAAGTGGAATTTCTATATATGATCCATCACTAAAGCTACAGGTAAAATAATCATCTCCCTGTACTGCTCCAGTAAGTACCTGACTCCTCATACTATCCTCTATCTTTATATGAGCCAGATCAGGCCAAAAATGCCATATTTGGGCAGGAGCTGCCCAGACCTCACTTTCCAGTCTTTCAAAAGTGTCTCCAAGTCCATATTGGAGAAGAATTATTTTCCACACTCCAACCTCTCTCTCACAGGTGAGATGTGGTGAGTCTCTCACTGTTCTATTGTTGCTGAAATGAAAAGTGCTTGGACGAACTACATTTACTGCTTCCACCAGGTCTGACCTTTATGGCTAGGACCTGCCATACTACTTACATAGTAAAAAAACCACTCTCATTCTCTTCATATTCTATTGGTGAAAAGTAAGTTCCACTCAAATAGCTTCTTCCCATGAACCACTGCTCTGTGGAACAGACTCCTAAGTGAATGTTTCCCTGATCACTACAATCTTAACCAGGTCTAGAGTCAACCATTATCTTCTCCTCCTATCCATATAAACTACCTCCTAGCATAACCGTCTACTTGAAGTGGTCCCTGGGCCTTGTACAGGGTGAACCTTATTTTTAAAAAAAACAAAATTAACTGTAAATTATTCAGTTTATAGTAACTACATTGTTAATAACTTGTTTTGGAAATGTCAGATTTTATTATGCAAGTCAATGTTTTTGCAATAAAATCGGTAATAAATTTTTATGTCAAAATAAGTTCAAAAGATATAACCTATAGAAATATACACTGCATTCCAACATTATATACAAATCAATAAAATGATATTAATTGTGAAACTAATCAAATATAGATCAAATATGTTATATGTTTATATAGAATATCATAAAATCTATGATCATATTAAAATATAAAATGTCATTTATCTAATAAATTCGATCAACATAGTGTCCATAGATGTTAAATTCGGAATTTCTTCTGGAGTGATGTCTTCACAAGCAGTGGATATTGGTTCCCAAAGTTCATTCTTGGATGAAAATTTTTTGTCATCGTCCTAAAGGTGTTTCTTCACATTACTCAAAGATTTTCAATAACATTAAAATCCAGAAAACACACTGGCCTCTCCATAAACAAGTCATTTTTTAACCCTAATTTAACTAATTATTCAATTGGTTGCAATAGAAGTATGAGCTGAAGCATTGTCATGTATAAATACCACTTTTCATTTGAATGTCCATTTCTGTTTCTTGAGCTATGGCTTGAAGGTTGATCCTTAGGAATTCAACATAAGCAGGAGAGTTCATTTTGATGCTATCAACAACTATCCAGGGGCCAACTAACTCATTGCCAATAATCCCTAGTCCAAACCTGACTGCTCTGTCTCCTTATTGAAGATGATTATGGTTTCCTTTTAGTTACCTGTTCACCAGCCATTAGGACTAGCCACTGTTGCCCTGCACTCATCCATGAATAACACACACTGAAAAATCGAATTTTAAATACTTTTCCACCTCAAAAACACATTTAGGAAAGTGATTCAAGTTCAGGAGAGTGGAATCAACAGGTTTGGGGTACTTACATTAGTGCTTCAGGAGACAACGTTGTGACGTTTTAGGTAGCTTTGGAGCTCCAGTGACAACAAATAATTTTAAGTGGATACTTCCACATCTCTATCTTCAAACACATTTCCATTTGTTGAGTAAGAAACAAACAAAAACCTACGTTTCTTCCTATTTTCAACATGTGCATTGCATGCAGCTGTATCTGGGATTAATTTCTTGAGTGTATGGTGGTCCCTTGCAAAAGGTTTAGCAGTTTCCATTTTTCCCTTCAAAAAGCATATCAACAATTTTTGCCTTCTCATTGTTACTCAAAAATGTTTTACAGGCAATGTTATATATAATTTGGAAGAGTGAAAAAGAAGTAATATCACCAAAATGACTGCAAGTTGTTTATTACTGCACAGAACCAACTGACATTGCACAATGTTGCACATGACAGTGCTGCCAAACGTTTGAAGTAATGAAAATATTTGATTAAAAAATCCATTAATTCTTTAAAAATTGCTTTGTTTACATTTCAAATATAAAACTAAGCAGATATAGGCTTTGAAGAATAACTAAACAAGGAAATGTGCATTCCTTAACAGGGTAAATAAAACCTTACTAGACTGTGATGCACTGTGGCTGGGTGGTCTAAAGCAGGCTGGATCTCCTACAAAGGAGGATGTGGGTTCAAACCCTGCCAGAGAACACATTTTCAGTGCACAGCCTGATAGACATAATCCACACTGCTTAAAATAAAAAAAATGGGTGTCTATTTCAAACACAGGCAGCCACTAAACGTAACATTTAAAGTAATAATATAAATCTATCCTGAAAATTTTTCCAACATGTTTTGGTTAATATCAATTTTATTGTGAAAACTTTGACTTGCAGAATAAAGACATACAAGCCTCAGAGAATTAACTGACAAGCAACTCCATGTTCATTAGCCACTAAATATTTCTGAGACATCACCAAGCAATATCATCGATGTTATTACAAATACATTATTATTATTATTATTATTATTATTATTATTATTATTATAGTCTATGTTGTCGTCTACATTTCTCTTCCTCTACACTATTTTTTCTTCATACATCTTCCATGATTTTTATGATAATGAGCTTCTTGTTAGTTTTTTTTTGTCCTGGTTTCTCTTCCACTATAGACAATTTTCATATTATCAGAAACTAACCTGAAAGTCCTGTAAAGTGCCTTGTAATGAATGATATTGTTGTTTTAACCAGCCATATTGATATATTAGTTGAATTAATATATTCAGATACTATAATGTTTTTTTCTGCCCTACATCAACTGGTATCAAACCTCATATTCTATGATGTAACTTGAGCTTGTTTGATAGTAAAAACTATTTTAAACATTCACAAATTGGATAAAGCTAAAGACAACATTAAAATAATAACTATTTCTTACGAAAAAAAATTATAACATTTTATTTAATGAAAAGCACAAAAAATATCTTCATCCAAGAATAATTCTTTTTAAATTAAATTCTGATTTCAATAGTTTCTGCTTTGTCTTTGCCTTTCATATCTTCTACTTATATATTTTAAATATTTAATAATTTAAACATACTGAAATCTTACTTATGTATATCATAATGTATATTTGTGCTTGTATGTATACAATGCAAGTGAATAATTTTACAGGAATATTTTTATATAAAACTTGTATAATTTCTAATAAGAGCCAATTTTTAGTTTCAGAATTATTTCAGTAAAATTTTGATATTATTACTTGAATTTACAAAAGAAAATGTGTTAAATAATAGTTTAACAGACTATTATTTTTTAGAGGAAGTGTATCACTGCTCCGACTTCCTGATGTTGAACATGGGGTCAGATACAAGCCAAAATATGGGAAGTCGATTTTGATTGACTAAGCCAGTGGGGGAATGATAGATATCAAGTGTTGTATCCTTTAAGAGGTTACAAACAAAGGTGGTACTTGAGTGAAGGAACAGCAACACACGCGTAGATGAAAGAAAGAGAGGTTTATTGAAAAAGGGAATACACTTCTGAAAGACAGGGATTCGGTTAGCAGGCTAGTAATTCCTGAAGCAAGTCCAAAGGTATATACTGTGCTCACTATATATAGCAACTTATATAGTCAGTCCAGATAGGTGATAGAGAGTTTGGGACATTCCATTACAACACCTCTCCCTGAGCTAATTTTCCCCATGAAATTTTGCTCAATACCTCTTCTTTTTAGGATCAGGACATAGTTGTTTGACTTCTGTCCTCTTCCTAGTCCTTTTCCATCTCACCAGCACAAAATAAAGAAAAGGTTTTCAGCGAGTCAAGCCTTAACTGTCAAACAATATAGACAGATTTTCTTTCATGTCTGAAATGGCTCCACAGTGAGGAGGGACAACCCCCACTGGATAGATAGAACATGTTGACATGAATGTTAATAAAATAGTTAAGCTTAAAATTCCCTGTGTTGGAGTTCTTTTATCTCTGGACTCAAAACATCTAGCGATCACTGACCACAAGAGAAGAATACAACTTTATTATCAAATTGACCCCCCATCACACAAGACCACCCCCACTAGGGGACGATACAACAAATGTTTAAACTACCTAAGACTTGTTAAATTCTTAGATTAATTTCAAAGCATTCTGATTGTTAAAACTAATAGTTTACTTTCAAATATGTTGACTGCAACATGATGATGTTAAAGTGATGAAGATTGACATAAACAAATAATTTACTGTATTTACATAAACTGTTTTTGAAATGTAGAAAACAAAAATCTTCATAATCATCTCAGTTCTGCGTCATGTGAGACAATATTTCTCTCCAGAATCTATCCTACAGATCTATAAGTTTACCATTCAACCATGCTTAGAATGTTGCTTCCACATAAGGTTTGGTGTCACTGCTATTTATCTAGAGTTCCTTGATAAAATCCAAAGAAGAATCAGCAATATTAATGATCGTGATCTGGCAGCTTGGCTTCAGTCACTTTCCCACTGCTGTAAGGTTACTTGTATGTGCTTTTCTATAAATACTTTCACAGTAATTGTTCATATAAACAATCCAAAATGGTACCTAGAGTTTTTGAATTTAAGTGCAGTACTAGACTAGCATTAAGATCTTATCAATTTACAGTTGAGTTGGCTACATGTAACCATAAATTCTATACTAACAGTTTCTTTTCTCACACGTCTTCCTTGTGGAACTTCCTTCCAGGTCCATACTTTCCAGCCAGCTTTAATCTGCAAAAATTTAAATGCAATGTAAATTGCTATCTGCTATTCTCCTGATTACTCTTTTTGTTCTTAGTCATTGGTAATGTTTCTGTTGCTAATCCTTCCACACCTTGTGTCTTAGTGGCTTTACTGCTTTGCATGGGTAAACTCAATTTAAAAAAAAAAAAGCCATGTAACAAATTCATTGACTGGTATTGAAAATTGTACTCATATTAAATTTGGAAAGTTTTTAAATGACTTACAATTTGTTTTTCTATTTAATATGTAGAAATGTTTCTGAAATATTCTTATTATAAGCTAATAATGACCAGTTTTATCAAGAGATAAAAAAACAATCATTTTTGTTTTTGTTTTAATAACTGAGCAAAAGATTTAAAATTTAATGTTTTTTTTTTGTTTTGTTTTGTTTGTAGCTGTTCTTCCTGTTCATCGGTCTGGTCCTGGGCGCGTTTGGTTCTGATACAGTGGAACAAGAAGTGGAAGTGTCCAGCTTTGCCTTGGCCTGGGCCAGAATCCAAGCCATGCTCGGTCAGAGAAAGGGGAATATCTGTCCTACTGATGACAATGTTAAGGATGACGGTCAAGATGAAGGTAGTCTTTTTTTGCTTGTTGATGATGAACTAGCCTTTTGCTTGGTAGCCTGGTACCAATGACTGCTAGTCATTGGTCCACTGCATGATTAGGTTGGTGGGGGCATGCTCTGTGGTGTCAATGTAGGTCACTCTTAGTCTTAGCCTTTTTGTTAAACTGAAAAAAGTTTTTTCAATTTTTCCATTTTTTTTTTTTTTGCACTCCACTCTCCTCTCACCCCCCTTTTTGTCACTTGAACCTTTGGTTATCAAATTTAATTTTTATTGGATAAAATTTTCATGGTTATTGGGGAAGAAAAATAAAATTTTAAAAATAATTAAAATAAGAAAAATTTATATTTTTGCCATGGGTGAGATTATCTTAACTATATATTTTTAATACTAACAGTTGTGTTTTTTGTTTTTTTTTTTTTTTTGTTTTTTGTTTTTTTGCTCATTTTTCAATTTTTTTAAAAAATGTGTTTATTCACATGTTTATTGGTGGATTTATGTGTGGTATGGTGGTTTAGTGAAGGGGATTAGTACCAATTTTTAGAAAAAATTTTGGTTCTATTTTCATCCGAGTTAGGGAAAGGATGGGTTTCTTGGACTTACATTGATTGGTCAGTTGATTGATGGGAAAGGGGAGAAATTCATGTTAAAGGGGAGATGGGATTCTTTCTCTCTTTCATTCTTTCTTTCTTTCTTTCTTTCTTTCTTTCTTTCTTTCTTTTCTTTCTTTCTTTTTCTTTCTTTCTTTCTTTCTTTTCTTTCTTTTCTTTCTTCTTTTCTTTCTTTTCTTTCTTTTCTTTCTTTCTTTTTCTTTTTTTTTTCTTTCTTTCTCTCTTTCATTCTTTCTTTCTTTCTTTTCTTTCTTTTCTTTCATTCTTTCTTTTCTTTCATTCTTTCTTTCTTTCTTTCTTTCTTTCTTTCTTTCTTTCTTAGTCTTTCTTTCATCTCTTTATGTTCTGTTTTTCTTTCTCTTCTGCTGTAGTAATCCAGTAAAAAAATTAGAAAATGGCTTTCTTCTTGCCAATTTTTTCTGTACTTATGGAAGGAGTCAGCAGATTTTAAATTAGAAATTAGCATTGGCTGCTGCTGCTGCTGCTGCTGCTTCTACTTCTGCTGTTGTTCATGCTGATGTTGCTGCTGTTGCTGGTGCTTCTGCTGTTCATTATTGTTAGAAAATTGATTTCAGTGGACGTTCTGTGTGTAAGAGAATGGCATTAGTAGGATTTCTAGTTAGTAACCAGGTGCTAAAAAGCAAAATATAAAACATAAAATAAAAGCATGGCAGTCTGGCTTGTGTTCCTTTTTGTCATTTGGACTCTGTCAGTAATGATCTGGTGGCTATAGTGAAGTTATAAATTGATGCAGCAGAGCATCTCTCTCTCTCTCTCTCTCTCCTTTTCTAGTTCTCTCTCTTTCTTTCTCTTCCTCTAAATTTATTTCTCTAAAGCATATGCCATGGCCTTTTGTTGTTGTAGTTGTTGCTATTGCTGTTGGTGATATTGCTGCTTCTCATTTTCATGTCTATTTCATCAGTGACACTTGCTCATGATTTTTTTTTTTTTTTCTTTTGTTTTTTTTTTTTTTTTTTTTTTGTGGCAATTTTTTTTTTTTTGTATTTGATCTGCCATTATACTCCAGCCCTTCGATTCCCAGGTCTCCCAGCAAACATAGAGATTTTTTTTTTCAATCACAGAATCAAGCTTTCTTTGTGTCGGTTACTCTTTCAATCTGTTTTGCTCCCTCTCACTCCATATATATATATATATATATATATATATATATATAAGTTTTCTAATTTACCTGTCTGTTCATTTCTCTATCTTTATCCTTACCTTTCTCTTACTCTATCTCGCTATCATTTTTCTTACAAATTAAAGTCATCTATCAGTTAGACTTGTATTTATTATTCTGCATTTTTCTTTATCTTTTTCATCTCTTTCTTTCATTATCTATAATTCTTTTTTCATCCATTCATTTATTTTTCCTTTTATGTTATCAGTTTTACTTTGTTTTTAATCCCTTATAAGTGTTCTGCCATTTATTTTCATCTCTTTCCCTTCAGTTTTTCTGCATATGGCTTTCTTTAACACTTCTCTCCTTTCAATTCTCTTTGCTCTCACCTTTGTTTTAATTATTTTTTTTTCTTTTTTACATTGCTCCCTCATTTTTTTAGTCTCTTCATTCTTTTCCTCTCTTACCTTTATCCAGACAATCTTTTCTATTTTTTCAGTATCCAAATGACACTAAAAATTTTATAATATTCTTTGTTTCAAACGTTTTTCTCAACAATCTGTTTTTCTCTAAAACAAAGTACATTTTATTCAAACAGCACCTTACCTTTTTTATTTTCTCATTTTACTTCAATGTTTCTTCTGACTAATTAGCATGCTCTCTCAATGCTATCTCTCTCTTTTTCTCTCTCTCTTTCTCTCTCACACACGATCTTTCAACTTATTACTCATTTCTCTTTTTCTTTTACTGTATACTTACTGTTTATCTTTTTACTTGTATTGCTATATTCTGTTTATCTCTCTTTTTTTTTCTTTATAAATATTTGCATGTATTAACAAAAATGTCCAATTGTTTCTCAAATATCTTCTATCTACTTGTGTCTCAATCAATCGCTTCTCTCTTTTTTTTTCTTTCTCTGTATAAATATTATCAGCTCATATAGTCACTTATCTATCAGCACTATCCATCCAGACATACAGGCATCAAGTATGCTTATGTTTATGCCTCTGTTCAATTTATACACAAGACAATCAACCTTTTACAGACTTTTTTTTTTACCTTTCTCAAGAAATACTATTCAGTTCATAATTACTCTCCAATACTTGTGCAAAATGTTTGAAGATTAATATTTCCTCTATTATTCATATTTCTCTTCTTTTCTTCTATTCTCTTTTTTCTCTTTCCTTTTGCTTGTAAACAAATATGTACACACGCATACACACACACACATACACTGATTAGTATAGAGGTTAGTATTCTAGTCCTACCAGCCACAGTTCTATTTTATTTGGCTGCACTACAAATGTAGGTTTATGTTAGATATGGCTTATTCCAAATAAATCACTATATAAATCTAAGCGACATATGATACAAATACTCGTTCATTTTTAACTATTTTTAATTCAGATGCAAAAAAATGGCTGTAAGCATGTGTGTTTGTGTACATGTATGTTTGTGTAACATGTAGCGGTAGGAATTGGATGTTGAAAAGGAGTGTGTGTGTGGGTGGGTGGGTGTGAGTGTGTGTGTTTGGGATGTGGGTGATGTCTTATAACTAACAACTCTAGATTAAAAAAAATGTATATATCATTCTTCACTTTCCCTCTTGATATTCTATATGGTTTACTTCTCTTTAAAAGTCTTCAAACAAACATATTGTCATTAGGATGTTATACCTTATACCCTGCTATTTTCACAGAAACAAGTTATCTCATAATATTAAATAAGACAGCTCATAAGTAGAAATACTTTTTGAATGATTAATATTTTCAAATTATAATAAAGGAATTTTGTGCTTAAAAATGTCTAAACCAAGTACATTTGATTTATATATTAATAAAGATAAGTTATAAAATATGAACAAAGATTAAAAAAAAAGAGAAAGATCAAGTATTTAAACTTGATTTGTCAAAAAAAAGGTTAGTTTTAGTAAAATTTTGAAATGTGAACAAAGATTAAAAAAAAAAAGAAAGATCAAGTATTTGAACTTGATTCGTCAAAAAAGGTTAGTTTTAGTAAAATTTTGAAATATGAACAAAGATTAAAAAAAAAGGAAGATCAAGTATTTGAACTTGATTCGTCAAAAGAAGGTTAGTTTTAGTAAAATTTTGATGCAAATGTACACTCTTTCTTAATATAACAATAAATGATCATAACATTTAATAAGACTATAAATATTTTTACCTTATTATTTAATTCCTAAATATTTGTTGTGATTTCATTGCCTTTCCTCCTTATCTGGTGATTATCTCTCTTTCAAACTCACTTTCTCTTTCTCTCCCTCCTTCATGTATGTGTGTGTGTATGTATCTTTATATATATGTGAACTTAAAATTTTACAGTATACCCATTGAATATATTTCAAAATAAACAAAATCATAAGTTAACATCGTATTTTTGAACCATATATATCTATACAGAGATCTCGGTAACCATGATAGTAATATCAATCAAAGATACTTTATGCATCACAATACTAAACATGATTACATGGGTATCTATGCTTACTAAGAATATAAGAAAAAGGTGACCAAGTGATATTGGTCACTAGAGGAAGGAGATTCTTCATAATCATCATTATCATTGTATACATTGGATTGGTATATGTATATCTGCATGTGGGCTGAGTGTACTTAAAATATAAAAGATGACTATCAATTACCATAAATAAGAGAAAAAGAAAGATTCTTCCTCATCTTATATTTTAACATAAGATTGTTTATGCGTATGTATGTGAGCATGTTTCACTGCATTTTATAATGCACCATGGGATTAGAATTTGTCAGGGAAAGAGAAAGAGATTGAAGAATACGTTTTCCAGATCATTTGTAATGATGCTGTAGTCCTAGTGTTGTTAATTTTCTTTCAAGGAGGGATTTCAAAATTTTAGCACTTTGAAAGAATATTTTTAATTAAATTACTTATATTCCAAATAAGAGAAAAATCAGTAACTTTTCACTCTTGTCAGCCAACATTTTTTAAAACTAGCCATATGTAATTAACAAAGACATATACTTATCAAAGTGCACTTCAACTAATGCTTTTTTAATATCTATATTGTTATTTAACCTGTGGTATCTAAAAACTGTCTGAAACTACTTCCATGGGTTCTTTTTAGGCACATCTGTAATTGTGTGAAATTTGTTTTTCACCAGTAATTTTCAAATTGCTAACAAAGTTTAAGGATTCTTGGATTTCCTACAAAAAATTTCAGATATTAATGGTTATATGAATCTTATTGTGAACTTTAAATAAAACATGTTAAACTTAAGTTAATCATGGAAATAGTTCCGATTTCTTTCAGAATCTTTGTTTACTTCTCCCAAGTAGTATTTTGTTGT